CATCCGTCCTGGATTCCCTGTGTTTCCAGTTCCTATCTGTACCGGTGTACATCCTCTGGTCTAGCCAGGTTTGTAAAGTAGAATTGGGATCATGATAGTGGGGGAGGAGGAAGCATTTAAGATAGAGGAAAGTTGTGTGTTTCATCGATGCTACACTGCACCCTGAGTGAATCGTCTCCTCCACTAATCATCTTTTCATTGTTGTCAAGAATCTACACAGCAAATCCGCAGGGTCCTCTTTGTATAATTCCATGACGAGGACATTCTTCGGGTTGTGCAAGCATCTCACCCTGTTTTTCTGAGTTCTTGCTCCCCTGTGAACGTTAACTCACTGTTCCCTAAGGGGGTCCCAGCTCAAGGGCTGCCATCGCTGCCTGCCTGAGAGACAGATCTTTAAAAAAGCATAGCGCTCAAGGCAGACAGTTCCTCTCTAGATAAACTAGAAGGCTTCAGGGGATTATCTCCAGGCAGAGGCGGGGCCAAGAGGCTGAGGGCCAGACAGAGGCCTGCCGCAGGGCAGAGAAGAAACTGTCCTGACGGACCAACTGCCTCCTGAGCATGTCTCACTGGAATATGAACTTCCCCCATAAAGCCCATCATCAGAAGGACTGTCTATGAGCTCTGCACGGCCCTTGCAATGCATTGGAGAACCCAGCTGAAAAGAAGAGGGCGCTGTGGGAGGCAGTACAGTGGGTCCAGGCCAGGCACCTGTTTGTCCCTCCAGCCTGGTCCTTCCACCAGGGAAGCTCAGACCACAGAGCTTGTGCATCTCTCTGAGCTCACACATGTGTGATGGCAGGTCTCTCGAATTGCAAATGTTTGGCTCTCTAGACTTCCATACTGCTGGCCTGGTTCTTTAGGGGGGACTTACTCCCCTGGGTACACAACCAGTGCTCACGGGAGCAGCAGTCAGGAGATCCAATGGCACGTGGCCGTGGGCAACAAGACCTCTTTAGAGTGCTGAAAAGCAGAGAGGTTACTTTGAGGGCTAAGGTGCACCTGGCCCAAGCCGTGCTGTTGTCAATCACCTCCTATGCAGGTGAAAGTTGGACATCGAACGAGAAAGACCGAAGGAGAATCCATGCAACAACTGCGGTGCTGGCGGAGAACCTCGAAAGGACCATGGGCTGCCAAGAGGACAAACATCTGTCTCAGAAGAAGTAGGGCCAGCGTGTGCTCCTTGGAGGCAAGGATGGCGCGACTTTGTCTGACACACTTTGGACACGTTGTCAGGAGAGATCAGTCTTGGAGGGGCCATCACGCTGGGTAAAGTAGAGGGGCAACGACAAAAGGAACGATGCTTTTCTAGTCCTGTAAAGACTTGTACATGGTCTTGTCCGACTAAGGACTGTCCTAGATAAGGTTGCTATGAGTTGACACTCAACTCGAGGGGCGTGAGTACGGACACCAGCGTTAGGAGAGAATGTGTTCTTTTTCTCCTCCTCTTCCTCCTCTCTCTCTCTGGGAGAAGGTGCTTGGTGCGTTTTATCATCCACAGGTCTGATGTTTCCTGGCTCCGTGGTGATCTTCAAGTGGCATCTATCCTAAGGTGACCAGACGTTCCGCTTTTGGCGGGACAGTCCAGATTTTTAACAATTTTTCCCACGTCCCACGGCATTTTAAAAAAGTCCCGATTTTTGGAAAGAATGCATGACAAGCTAGGGTATACGGTTTTCGGCTGCCATGTAGCTATTTCGCCAGGATATGAGTTTTATCAATGGTGTCCTGCTTTACCAATGTTAAAATCTGGTCACCTTAATCTATCCCCACTGCCCCACCCCCACCCAGCTGCACTTCCTTGCTCCCTTCTTCCTTTGATGTCTCAAGAGATTGGTTCAATATATACCTGAGTTAGTTAATTGTGCCAACCTGGCCAATAAACACAAGTGGGGCTAATTGAAAGGCGGAGGGATAAATGGATGGTGAGCCTCGCCTTTCTAGTTCTCGGGTCTCTTGCTTTGTGATGGTTGCACCGGGTGCAGCTGCCTTAGCAGTTCCCTGCTTCAGCGTGCAAGATTGACTTCCTACAAGACATCAACAAGGAGAAGCTACATGGACCTATCCCGATGCAGCCCTGGGTGCTGGAGCAGCCGTGTGGAGACCCCTGCTAGTGCTGAGATGCTTTTTCGTTCACTGACTCAGCTTTCCTCCTGCAGTCGGCATCATTGCCTCTGTTTTGTGAGGTGGAGGACTTTGTGGACTGGTGTTGGGTGAATGGGTTAATGTTGGACTTGTGGGCTTGGGCAGCATTGGGTTGGAATGTTTTCGTGATGCACATGTTCTTTACATAAAACTCTCTTATACATGAGTTGCTGTGGATTTGTTTCTCTAAAGTACCTAGACTAATACAATACCCTACACTAATATGGTCTCATTAACATAGCAAAGGAAGCCCACCCCTAAGTAGGATCCTAATTTTTTTTAACTTGTTATTGTGAATTAGTGTACGGTGACACACAGAGCAGGTGATTGGTTTTACATTTGACAATTTGTACCCATCGTGTTTCAGCTCATCCATGGCAACCCGTCATGTACCAGCCTGTCTCACTGCTCCTGGGGTTTGCTTTGCTTGCCTCCTGTTTGAGCCCTGTGAACTTTGCCCTTGGACGGACATTGTCCTTCAGATCTTGAACAGGCTATTCTAACCCAGGGTCCAGAGTTCCAATCCAGACCTGGAAGGTGACTAAAGGCCGCAGACTTGGGGCAGTGGTGGTGGTGGTGGGGGTTCCCATCTGTCTGCGACTGATCGGTAAGCCTGGCATCTTTTATAATTTTGAGTTTTGGTCCACATTTTTCTCCCCTTATACACAGGGTCTTCTAGGGTGATCTTCTTCAGAGCAGTTGGCAGTGGTGGCAGGGCACCATCTTGTTCTTCTGATCTCAGGATCGCAGAGAGTGATGGCTCAGTAGGCCGTTGGGCTAATTTTCTCCATGTCTTTCCACGGTCATTCTTTCCTCTCCATGTGGAGAGACTCAGAATTACACTGTAGATGGCTGCTTACAACCCACTTGGGGCGGATACAATTCAACTCATAATGCCCTTTCTGCTCAGCAGAGTTGTGACCAAAACCCAGCGGTTCAAGCCTCCTCATGACTCTGAGGGAGTAAGGCTGGCTGCTCACATAGAGAATCACAGTCCCAGGAGCTCTGCCCGGTGGGGCCACTATGAGTCAGAGTTGACCTGATGTCAGTGGGTGGACTACGGAAGCCAGGAAAACAGCAC